AAGTCACGGACTTCTGCCCAAGTGTATCATGCAAGCTACAGACATCATGAGGAAGCAAGTAAGTATCTGGCTGTGTGTCTGCTGCATGCCACTGGTTTTGTTCCAGTAACACCCAGTTTATTTCAGTGGGGCACTGTATTTTGTACACTGCAAACCCATATAGCCAAACTTCTGTGTCTGAAGAGCTACACATATATTTGACAGGAATAAATTAAGTTTTGCATGTACAGCCATTCGAGCAATAAAAGTATAGGCCTCAGTCTACGTTATTTAAAGTGTATGTCTTGATGGTTAGAGAGGTTATGCAGCATATTCAGGACAATTTCAGTATTTAAAAAAACTGAGTCTCAGTCACAGTGTTAAATAGCAGAAATTCCCTAGTGTCAGACAGGCGTGCTTGTAAAGTGCTTTGGGACTAATTCCATCTTTTAAGTAAACACAGATGACTAATGTATCCACCCAATGGATTCCAAATCTTCTACAAGTAGTTAATGGATTCGCAAATAGAAACCATACTCCCATTATAATATTTTCCCCTAAGGATCAGATGCTTTATCGATACTGTCAGTGCCATAAATCCTCTGTTTCCTTAGGGACCAAGGGTTGAAATTTCTGCCAAGAATCTGAAAGTGATGGACCAAATGCCACAGTGTGCACCTCGGTAGGTTATTATGCATCATGCATTTTATCTGAGTGCTGGGTTTATGTTTCTGTAACAATTGGGGCGTTTCTGTTACAACCAAAGATCTCCTTAGTAGCAGAAGGAAAAAAAGAAAAAAGTCCTGGTTTCTTTCTCACTGTACTGAGTGCTCTGTAGATTAATCAGCTTTGCTGCTTACCATTTGCAGATCATTAACTTCAAAGGTTTCTACATATTCTGAATAGAACATAACTGATTAGAGAGAGGAGTCTTTTTTGGACTGTTGCTGTGTGTTGGCAAAGCCAGTGATTGACAGCCATCTGTGGGCTGCTCAGAAAGCCAAAATCCAGAATGGGAAATCTGACTGCAGATAAGCAGACATAATTCATACGCTAACACTGTTGTGTGCTTAGCAGAGCTCAACTGCTTAGTTATGGCAGAGCAGGTTGAAGAGCACATGCTTTGAGGCAGAGCAACCCCACAGTAGTAGTCTAAAAGAGAACTTTGAAAAGCACTTCAGAGTGAGTGAGAGTGAGTGTATTTGGTAGTGCTGCAGTCCTCCAAAGAACATGTCACTCCAGTGTTAATAAGACTTCCTTAAACCAGTGATATCTTATTCACCTGTTAAGACTTCTCAGTTGGTCTAAGCAAGCCCCACCTCATTCCTTTTTTTCCCCATCTGCTCCTCCAAATGTTTATAGGAAATTATTGCAAACTTTGGGGACTGTGATGCTTACTCTAATAAACAGTCTGGCCTTGATTTTTTTAATCAGAGACCTTAAAAAGAACAACATTTTGCATTTAGAGCTTTATCCTTCTGTTGGATAAAGGAATAAAATAAAGGTCAGTGTTGGCTCCTTTGCCAGGTCCCCAGTGTCCTACATCAGCGTTTTAGCAGCACAGTTCTTTTGCCTCATTAATGGCTGTACATCACTTTGGTCCATTTTTATGACCATAACAGCATGCTGTGTTCAAAAAGAAACAGCTTTATAAACAAATCCTAAGACGAGGCATTTCTTTCATATACACTCTAAATCACAATGACAAATTCCAGGACTCTGTACTTGAATTATTTTAGGGCAATAAAGCTCAGATACATGTGTTCCTAGTGGGTTCCAGTGTCATACTGTGAAATAAAACTGAGCAAAATTAAAAGGAAAGCTGAGGAATTAATGTTAATTCTCAGGATTATATTTCCTAGTCTTGAAGTTAGTCAAACTCTGTAGTAGTAGGAGTCTTGAAAGAGAAGTTATGAAAGACTTGAGTTTATTCAAACGTAAAGTAGAAAAAGCCAAGAAAACCCCACCACAACCAGTACTATCCAAATGACAAGTAAGATGTATTTTTAGAGAAAACCTAAGCACAATTACTGATTTTAAAGTTTGTTCATGTCAACAAGCAGATGTGCTTGTATCTGTTGGGTGGCCCAGTCTATGAGCTTTTTTGTGCAGGAAAATGGCCATCTGGGTTTAAAGCAAAAGAAATAAAAAAAGGGACTACTGAAGACCCAAACTGGGTCAAATTGAAAGGGAGTGAGGGAAGGTCTCAAATAGTATTTAAGCAATGACTGTAAATACTTTAATTAATAAATTACTAGTGGAACTTCTGAATTTGCAGTTATTAAAAACAGTGGTATTCTTGATACTGGATTAGCTCTAAAGCCTATAGAATAATAAAGGAGAAGTTGTATCTCATTTACTATGCCAGTAATTTTATTTTACCATCCTTGTGATATTTAATACCGTACTAATTAATTACTGCCATAACTAATACTGACTTCATCTGCCTTAAAGACTCTATAGGTTGTGCCAGCCACCTACAGATGGAGATTTATAAGGTGAGGGAGGCACCTGCCTTGCAGCATCAGTGGAGTGTTCAGCCAGGAGCAGCCCCACCTGAGGTACCCCCACAGCACCACCACCAATGGTGCTGAGCCCAGAGAGGAGCTCTTCTGCTGCGGGTTAGTCGGTGATGAACCTGCTGGCCCCAGACATCAGGAACCCACCTCTGAGCTCCTGCAGCGTGCGCAGGGATTCTTGTATTTCTTTGACTTGTTGAAGAAATCCACGAAACAAATACCCCAGAGCTAAGGTGGGTATTACTGCCATTTCCTAGATGCCTGGCAAAGTGACAGCTCTTTCAAGACAGTGCAGGTTTACTGGTGACTTGTGTGTGCTGCCACCTCAGTGTAGTGGACTTCAAGATACGGATTGGTTATGCCTCCTCTCATGCTCCCCGTACTGCACCTGGCATCCATTTAATTGCCAGCATAGTTTTGGTCAGTGTTCTGGAGCAACAGCCTCAGAAACACCACTTTTTCATGAACTGACCTGCACTTTTGAATGATGAGTAGCACAATCCATGGTTTATTCAAACATGAACATCAAGAATGTCTTCTGGAGTAATTTTCACTTCAGCCCAGTGAGAAGCGATCTCCCGATGCTGCAGAGTATACATTCCATAATCCTTCCTAACATTACTTCATTTTACTTACTGTAGCTTTCAGGTTTTTGATTAACTCTTTTTACTAATGCCCTGTTATGTACTCTGGAAATACAGAACTATTTAAGAGGAGAAACTGGGAGTGAAAGATTTTAAAGGAAACTTCACAAAGGAAAAAAAAATCCTGTCTTATAACCTGATTATTTGAACAGATGTAGTTTTTAAAACAGGTCAGAAGAACTATACTTATTTATGTGGAGTGGCATATGTGTTTTCGATCATGTTATTATATATACAAGATTTAAATAAAAATTATATTGTTTAAAATGGGACCAATATGCTGGCAGTTACACAGCTACTCCCAGTTTACTGAAAAGAAATCTACATTATTTAAAATCTTTCAATATTTAAGTAGTCTTTAATACAGTTATTGAGATGTATTAGGGGTGCTTCTAAGTTAAAAGACAAAAGGAATCATGTATATAATGTACTTTATTTTTTTCTTGTTTGAAGCATTGTTCTCCATCCTGTCAGTATTATCCTAAGCACGGTAATTTTTCCCAAATTACTAGCTGAAACACATTGAAACATGTCAGCAGTCTCAGGACAGACATACGGTTCTTTTGGAGTGAGTGCCTTAACACGACCGCCCAGCCCCAGGGAGTTGGAATTGCAGCCGGTGCAGGCCAGGGTGTGCAGGGGACTCACCATGACTCTGGTTCTCCACAGCCTCCTTTGGAACAGTTCCAAGTCAGGACATCCTGAAGCGCTTTGCAGTGATGTACATTGTAGAAAATAAAGGTTTGGGGGTTTTATTTGTGATGTTGTTTGGTTCTTAGCTGGCTTTATTTTATTTTATTAACATCCAAACCAAGTGAAAATCTAAAATTAGTCTTTTTCCATTTGGATTGGTAGCTCTTGTGATTTTTTTTTTTTTTTCATCTACACTTCAACACAAAATGGTTTGTGACAAGCTTGGAGATGCAGATTGTTCGGAACCCTGTTTCTTCATTTTTTATCCCTTCACTCACAGACTGCTAATTCTGGGGAAGAACCGTGGTTTGTTTTTAGCTCTTACCTATTTCCTCTGACCTAGAGCAACCTGTTGCAGGGAGCTAGGACAACCCACCAGTCACTGGCTGTCAGATGCAAGGGTTGTTAACCAAGTGTCTATCTGTACTGCAGCCAGAGCAGCAGGTCATTATTTCAATGCACTTTTTTGTTAATTTTGGAGGAGTTTGGACTCTTGCCATTTGCTGTTCCAAAAAGCAATGGGTGTTTCTTTACTGAATCCTCAACTTAAAATGTACTTAGCATTAGAAGAACTGTAGGAACCCCACAAAATAAAAAGAACACATAGGCCAAGGTCCTTGCTTTGTTTGCATCAGTTCTGCTTAGCAGAACTGCAGCAATCTTACAGCCTGTTCAGGATCTCAGCCCAGGCTTACACAGTCACTGTAAACATTAAAGATGTGTAGCAGAGCAGCTAAGGGCATTTACACTGTGCACTGTTTTCCACTGAAATGTATGTGATAGAAGTTTTTATTATTAAAAGTTGGTTTATATTCTAAGGAAATAAGGTATGATCTTATTTTTCTGTTATACCCATTAGTTCCTTAGCTCTAAGTTCTTCTGATCAGTTTAAGTTCTGCTATTTGCATGGAGCAATGAAGAGTTAACAGTTTAAACTGTAAGGGAAAAGTGGGTTTTGCTGTCAGTTCAATCTGGCATTGTAGAGCTAAACTCTTCCTGTTTGTGCAGTGTTGGCCACAGATGTGGTTTCACTGCAGACTTCCTATTAACATAGACAAGAAAAACTGTTTTGATGCTGTAACACGACAGGGTTTGAATGCAATACTGGAAAAAAACAGGTTTAGGTGGAAAATGCAGGTAGGCTTGTACATTGCCCTCTCAAGTGAAGAGAGTCGATAAGCACTGCAGGATTTCCATGGCCAAAAGCAAAGTGAGAATCAGGCCCTCCACACTGAGCAATTCTGATGGCAGATCTGGAGCATCTGATACACTGGAAGTATGGAAAACAGTCAGATGGAGAAAATGGAAACTAGCAGCGTGATGATGAGGTGTGTAAGCAGCTGGCTAGAGGAGAGGAGGCAACACAGGAAAGAAAGAGGGGGTTGGGTGGCAGCTGCAAGTGGAATTTCTTTTCTGTCAGGATTGTAACTGAATTTGCTTAGTACCTGGAGCACAAGTACTGTGAGACTGGGGCTGGTGTTAAGCTGAGAGGCACTCATATGGATCCAAGTGCACACAAAAAAAAGCCTGGAAGACTCTTCACACTGAAGGGGATGAAATGAATGGGATGAAAGCTGACAGTACAAATATGAACTCATGCCCTTGAAGACTGAACAAAGTATTTTGCTACATGTCTTGTAATTGATAACAAAAGAGCCTTGATTATAGATGATTCAGATGCAATTTGGTAGCTCATCCTGCACTAGGAGACAGATTTCCAGTGGGGATGAAGATGATGATGAAGATTCAAGCCACTGTGCAGAGGCCAAAGAGAAACTGCAGTTGCTGGATGGTGAGGACAGATACTAAAATGGTATCATCAATAAAGTGGATACAGTTCTGGAAGATGAGACCAGAAAAGCTTGATTCATTAGCCTGAGACACAATAACAACTGATATCTTTATAAGAAGAAAATGATGAGAAAGGTAAAGACAGTTCTATCTGATCATAAATACAGCCACAAGGAGAAAAAGGAGTAGAAGCAAGCAGGGAAAAATATTGTCTGAAAATTGTTCTGGGCCTAGAAACCTTTTTTTTCCCTATCAGGCTCTGATGAAGAAAGAAATAACATTGACAAAGGAGCTTGTACAAGATGAAGCAGCAGTGCCTGGTGCTGCAGGATACTGGGCGGCCCTTCCCCATCCAGCCCCATTTGGCTACAACAGGAATTGTGCATGGGCCCCACTTTGTCTGATGTTGTCCATGGCATTTGCAAAGGTATGAACTGCCATTCACATCCTGGCCTTGGCTGTCTATTAGCATTAGTCATTTTCATATTCTAGCAGTCATTTTCAGACTGAAATAGTGGGATTTTTAGATCAGAAACCACAGATTTAGACATGGATACATCTTCTTTCCATTTAGAATAAAAAACATTGGAAAGAAAAATCCACCTGGATTCTCGCAAATCCTTTTTCCTCTGTCACCCTGTCTTATCACCAAATAGTGCTGATTCGGGAATATTTCCTAGTTGTAAAGCAATTTTAAGATATAAACTAGAAAGGCTTAACAAGAGTGTCAATGTAAAGATAATTTGAACCATTCCTACAGCACGTGCATTGTTTCATCTGTCATAACCCTTGGCATTATAGCTGCCTGACACCTGGCTATGGTTCAGTGGTAAAAGGGCCAAAACCCCAACCTCTAACCCAACAAAGGGCTCATCAGACCAGCTTATTCACAAATGCACATAGGCATACTGTTAAGATATCACTGATTAATCAAATTGCCCAGTACAATTTGTAACTAAACCTGGTATTTGTGTAGCACAAGAGCATTCAAATATGAAGCTCAAATCTGCCATTCAGCAGAGTCCATAGTAGCTGATCATCTAAGAGGGAAGAAAAGCCTTCAAACAGCAAAGGGAATTTTACAATTCCCTTTTCATCCTGGCTGCAGTCTGAGGAGGGAACTGGGGAACTACTTTCTTATCACTGGTATTGTGAAGATTCAAAGGAGAAAAATCATACACGGCTTTGAAAACTGTCAGTGCTTTACATATACAATACAGTTCTAATGACTTGAAAAACAGGAAACTAGATGGAAAAAAGGGTAAACATCACAATAACATATGTAAAACTCTCTGCTTCTGATTCCCATAAATATATTAATTGAGAGCACTTGGTATAAAGAACAACTGAAGTACTTGCTTGGACCCATTTCAGGATTTAGAAGGACAATGCATTAATACCATGAAGGAAACTAATTTAACATTAGTTTTCATTAGCAGGGGAAGAATAAACTCATGTGAAGTTTCTTCAGACTCCCTCATCTTCAGCAGTTCCAACTCCCTGAGTTAAAGAATATCAGAATTCAGAACATAAGTAAATGTTAGGTGAATACCATTTTAAAAATATGGCCTTGGCAAGAAGATACTCAATGTGGATTTCAGAGAAGCTCTGTTCAGGTTGTAAAGTAATTGATAATTCTCCTATCACACAGTTTGGCATGAGGAGAATCCTGTTTATTTAAGGTCCTGCTAATTGTCAGCATATACTCTGAGAATCAGGCTGTGCTGCACAGTTGCATTCAAGTGTGCCAGAAGAAAGATCTGTTGGCAGCTGAACCCTGATCAGCTGGATGAGTTTGCCTTCGCATTGTGAAGCCTACACTGACTTCAAAGCAGAATTAAAGACAAAGGACCTGATTATCTTAGAACAGTAGGTTTGCTTTTTGTAGTGCACCTTTCAAAGATGTTTCCAGATGAGCTAAGACCGTAAGATGAGATTCACTGCACTAGCACAACACTATAGAACAAACAAGTAACTCGTTGCATAGGGCTGCAGAAAGGCCTTCATTTTTTCTCATTTACAAAGGGGAGGCATGGCCACAGTAGGCTGACCATTGGTTAGGCCAAATTTAAAAGGCTTTTAACAGGTAACTGATGATCAGCTATAGAAGCTCAAGTAGGACTGCTACAGCATTACTGCATTTACAGCTCATTTTGCACCTAAGATCAATTACCTCATCTGGGCAGGGGGGGCAGTGCTGAAATGTATAGTTTGTTTTTGCGTGAAACAGAACTTCCAATGGTTTTAGGGAAATGTTTCAGAAATGATATTTTTATATCAGTTTATAGGACTGGCATTTTCAAATGTTTTGTAAAAAGAAAAAGTGTACAGAATATTTGAGAGGGTTTTTCCAGTTACGTTTGAGGGACTCCAGTGTACTAATAGTGTTACCGTTTTCTTCATGTTTCTGTATTTTTAACTAAGCATGTGTATCCTGCATTAAGATAAAAGTCTTAATATAATTTGTGCAACTTTTTGCGTTGTACCATCTAATCCATGTGGTCCTTTTAGCACTACTGGGCTGTGTTTGGTGTGCTGTGTGCTCTGTGTTTGTCAGAGGTGAAATTAAGCCATTCAGAAAACACTGCCCAGGTGGTCACAGCAATGTGTCTGCTGTCAGACAGGATTCAGAGCACTCCTCTTAGGTGTGGAAGGTTGAGAGCTATGTGAACTGGAGACATTTCTGTTGGGCTATTTAAAATATTTGGGCTATTGCTTTAAGAACTTTTTGAACTTCAAGAAGATTGAGAAAGTAAAAAGAAAACTACTTGATGTTCAAATCCTCTCTGGTTTTGTGGGATACAGGACAATTAGAAGAGCTCTTTCCTGCTGTGTACAAACTGCATTCTGCCTTTGCAGGACATAAATTAAAGATCTAGATCTCTTTCCCTTCCTCTGCAAAAAGAAAGATAAAAACTGGAGCCAGGAAATGCATTGCTGCCTAGCTGTGCAGCTGAAATATCCCTTGATGCTGAAATGGGTTCCGAGTTTCCTCTGAGAGCATTAAAACTCAGCTTTATATGCTCCTACACTTGTTCACAATCCCCCAAATGGTTACAACTATCATTTCCATCATGTATGTGTTGTATCACTGCATCCAGCAGTTAGAATGAGGAAGTTCCACACAGCCAGCCAGGCATACCTGATCGCCTTACTCTACCCTTTGATGATACAACCAGCTTGTCAGTGCTATCAGCTGTCTTTAAAAGGGGAACTCTTAATTTTCCAGTCTATCCAGGGGCTTACACTGGGGTAGACTTTCCATTCACTGAAAGACTCAACCAAAGAGATGATATATCCATACCTGAAAGGGTTCAATAGGTTTCTAAGGAAGAAAAGAGTAAGAGTTAAATCCATTCATGCCCCTGACCAAGATAGATACTATGATTTGGGCTTCCTTCTCTTCACAGCAAAAGAGTGTAACAAGTCAAAGGAGAGATTCAAGAACAGTTTTGTTTGTAGCTTCCTCTGCAGTGAAAACCGATCTTCTGGTTTATCCCTTTATTGCATGTGGAGATACATTTAGTTCTCAGCCAAAATCACCCTGTTAAATTCCCTGAATCCCCAGAGTCTAGTAGCCTCAACATTGTTATAAAGCAAGGACAAGCCTCTTAAGTTTTTAACTGTGGTTTGATCTCCACGTCACTTGTAAGAAACTTCAAGAGGTGCTACTCAGTACCTCCTGAACAGAAGACCTGCTTCAGCCTTGAAAGAGTTGAATACTTGACACCAGGACAGAAACCAAAGAGAAACAAACTAAGCCAACGTGCCATAGATAGTAGCAATAATGGGTTACTCTTCAAGCAATGTTTCACGCTGAAGAAAATGACAGAGAATAAGGCAGTTAGTGAATGTCTAACCCTTCTCGCTAACACGCTGTGCAGCACTATGTGGTCATGCCTCAAGTCTGAGGAGATATTACTCTATTTCAGAGGCTACTTCTACATAGGAAGAAAATCACAAAAATAAGGTAAATGAGCATAAGGAATTTGAATTAAGAAACAGAGACCTCAACTAATAAGCTTTACCTCCTGTGGGTAAGGCAGATCATGAAAGGCACACTGAAACAGTCTTACAGAGTGCAGTAAGATCCCTAGCCCAGTGTTCCTGAACACTCCAAGAGCCCAACATTTCTCATGTCAGTAATCAGCATCATTTTTTATAAAGTTCCTGTCCTTTCCCTGGTAAATCTGACTGGCTTTCTTTCCAGCCTGCTTTCTCCTTTGATCCTCATCACCCAGGCAATCAGCTAGTCACTAGAAAAGGAATTAACTGCCTGTTTAGTGGAAATCAATTGAGATCTCTGCATTTTTCCCATTTACTGTTCAGGCGAGATGAGGGGCATGGACTGGGACTGTGCCAGTTCTTTTCCTTAGAATCTTAACAGCATGTTCAATAGGTTTGACTCATACGCTGTCCTGAGCAAAGAACAAACAGCACCAGGGAATCTTCAAACAAGAACATGTGTTGGTACTCCCAGTACTAATCCCATCCATGGCTTACACTGAAGTGATAAGAAGTAGAATTCTGCTGCCTGAGAACAACAGGGCAAAAGAGTAAATAGTCCCTGTTCAAGCAACAGGTGCTATTTTGAGGTCTCTGACACCTCTTTCTCCTTGTATAGCCACCAGTAGCAGTGGCTCCTGCTGCTGCTGCTGCTGTTGGGAGTGCCAGGGACCAATGCTGAAGCCCTGCTGACAAAGTGCACAGTGCGCTTGCTGTCTGCTCTCAGCTCACCAGCTGCTGCCATCAGCTGCAGGGAGACAGCTGCAGCCCAGCCAAGCCAGGGCACCCCAGGGACCACTGGCTTCCAAACTGGCCCTGTAGGGAAACCTGGGATTTAAATCTGCCAGGACAGGGGCTGCCACCTCCTGCAGACACAAGTACACAGGAAATTTGGGAGGAAAACACAGAACCTGTGCTCTTTGCCCAGTCTCCACCTGTGTACTACATTATGATAGGCAGTTTTTCCTACAGCTAACATATGGCCTTAATCATCAGTGTTACTCCCAATTTTCTTTTTTTTTAATTGTTGTCCTGGGCTCATCAAAAGGCTGGAGTGCTCTGCCGTGATTAACTGTCTCCATCTTACAGATAGCTTTCTATTAAAATAAATGTCTGTCTGTCTTGTATGGGTTGTTCTGTTTTACACTGACAATTTAATGAACATAACATGACTTCCCCCTGCTAAGCAATAAATAACAGTTACTCCAGGCTTATCCATTGCTGTCTACACAGCTCCAGTAAAACACACACCGTTTCAGGTCACTGCATTTGAGAGAAAGGTGATGTTTGGACAATGTGTTTGCTGCGTTGAACATCTCAGTTCCTATTTTCAGTTGTGTTCCCTTTATCCCAAGGCCTAGTGAATGGCTGACAACATTCTGAGTGGGTACAAAATAATATGTTCTCTATGAAACAAAAAGAATAAAGATTACCTTTTTTGCTGGTTTTTCTTCACAATTTAAACAATTGGTTGTTGAAACTGTAGTTCTGTTGATTCTTCAGTCCTGGAAGCTGCGTCCAGCTCTGCCGCGATTAAGATGGATTCTCTGAGGAGCAAAAACATGAGAAGGGTGAAACTAAGTATGATAATGTGGGCTAAACAGGAAATATTCCTAAAAGTATTAATGGAATTCTTACTCATTTGTGTGGTGAGACATTGGAACGTGTTGCCCCATCCTTGGCAGTGTTCAAGGCTGGGCTGGACAGGGCTTGAATCAACCTGGTCTAGTGGGAAGTGTACCTTCCAACCCAAACCATTCTGTATTTCTATAAAATATCATTGATAAAATGATAGCACAGTCCCTTAGGTAGAGTCCTGATCACCTGGGATTTAAAAAGCACACAACCTGACTGAACAAAATTGAGTTATTGAATTACCTACAGGAACAAGAGGTTAAACCCATGGGTTATACCAGTCAGTATGTTACAGGATAGTTATAATAATCCCACTGGGGCTTAAGATCTACTAATCTTAAAAAAAATATTACTGATATATTAATGTATTTTTTTTTAATCTATCATATAGAAACACTTAACCATTGGGTTAAACTCTTTATAGTTATATAGTGAAAGGGTAGTCCTTTCCCAAAGGAATTTACAATCCAAAACTTGATCAAGTTTTTGGAGGGTGTTGGCATTCGCCCCAGCTCCTACCACAGGAGGCCAGCTAGTGTAGACAAACTAGACCAAAAGAAAACTGGCAAATCCAGGCCTACAGTTGTTAGGCTGCATATTCCAGGACCAAACCCTGAACAAATGGCTCAGTTTCTCTATTTCCAGCTTGACAGGAAAGAAAGCAGTAAAACTCCTGCTCCTGACACTTCTAAGCTGACCTAAACCATTGCCTCTCCTGCTCCAGTTTGTCTCAACCAAGCTGCTGGTTTGCTTTAAGGAACTCTGCGATTGCCAGTAATTAAAGGTAGTTAGCACCTCGCTGGCTTGGGTGAACAGCAGAGGGTTACAACTACTTTTCCAGTCAACCTGGAGCAGCCAAGCTGCTCTAAATAGAGCTGTTTTTTCTAGAAACTCAAAGCTCTCTCGGAGCTCTTTACCAGTCCCTTCTGGTAGTCATGATTCACTGTTTGAAAAATACTTCTCCATGCCAAAATCATGACTCATTTTGTAAAATGTCAATTAATGCCCTGCAGAGTCTGCAAAAAATAAAAAAAAGGTCTGTTTTTAATGAATTAGGAATAAAATTAGTAATTAATGTTTGAATCCAGTGATTATTTTCTTGATCCTGCTTAAAATTAAATTTGGTTGTAAGCACTTTGAAGGCAATGAGCAAAGACTCATTATTATTTAATCAGCTTTAAATGACTTACATAATTACTTACATCAGTGACGTATTTTCATCTTGAGATAATTAAAAATAATTAGTATGGCTTTATCCCAGTTTTAATGTGCAAAATCAAATTCATATTATTAGTGGGGCTTGAATACTTGCTTTTTTGATGGAATTTATCTGGAAATTATTGCACAGAAGTTAATGAAGCTATCACACGAATGCAGCACTTGGAATGGATGCATCATTTATTTCTGATCCCATGTGAAGTCAGTTCTGTTTTATTTTAGAGGAGATTTTAATAAAGTTTTGTGAAATAGAAGCAATTTTATAGCTAGAGCAACACATAGTGTGTCTTGCTGCAAGAAATAACAAGCTTTGGGTCCTATTCTTTTCCTACTCTGGTGTAAATCAAATGTAGATTCCCTAAATTTGGTGGAATCACAATGCTGTAGAGCATACATAACCCAAACCCAGCAACAACCAATGGGTTTGAACTGAGCTATCTGAAAGGTTTTGTGCTTAAGCAGGAAGGCAAAATTAGGAAAATAGTGGAAGCATTTTTACCTTTTAAAGCAATCTAAAAGGCAATTTAGTTGCCTTTAAAAGCAGTTTAACAGATAAAAAGGAGGAGCCAGTATAATGCAATTAGCCAGAAGTGCTTTATGGACTACATTTATTATCATATCTCATTAGAGAATTACAGGAGGGTTTTGAGATGCAGTCTAGAACATGGCTGTGGTTCACTTATTTTTATAAGGAGATAATTACAACCTTCCGAACATAAGTTTGCCAACCCTTAGAATCTTTGGGGTTTTCACACCTACTTCTTAAACAATCCTCATTTACCAACATCCTCCTCTAGCTTTAGTGGTTAGTGAGGGCCTCAGCTGAATTTCTGCCACCAGGTAGTCAACATAGGGCTGTATTTAGTGGTACTCTCATATTTCATCTTGTATTACACATACTTTTGACCACACTCCCCAAAGATGCTGTAGTGAAATAAACAGTTTCCTCCCTTGCTCACTAAGGATATTATCTCTATTGCCAGTCCTAGGAGGGCCTCTCATCTCCTAGTCTGTGGCTGCCAGCTCTGGGCTACAGCACATGCTGTATCTGCTGCTCCTCTAACTGCAGTTTCTGACTAGCTTCCAATAATATTGAAATGTACTGATGCCCACAGCATCTCTCTAAAGTAAGAAACACTGTTTCTCAACTGCACAACTGGGAAATGAGAACAAGATCTCAGAGACTTCATTCTGACATGTCTGCATTAGAATTGTCAAATGACAAAAAGTAGTTTTCACACTGGATAGGTGTGACCAGCACTGCACGTCTCAGATCTGCCTTGGGACCTGCCAGGCCTTGTTCACTAAGCATTTGAAAAAAGGGATAGATAGGCTTGTGAAAAAAATGCAAATTAGAAAATGTTTTTCTGAGTAACAGAATCCAAAGGCAAGGGAACAGAGCTGCAACAGAACATTGCAGGAGTGAGTGGCTGAAGTGATTAAACGGCAATTAAAATTCACTGTCAATAACTGCAGAGTACTGGTCACACAAATGAAATGATGAGGCACTGGATGTACAAAGTCAGGTTTTAAATGTGGTCCCCAAGCTTTGAAAAACCTTTCAGAGTTTTGTGGACCATTGCCTGGAAACATTAGCTCAGAGTTCCATGGCAATCATAGGGAAACTAGAACAATAGAAGTATTAGAAAAGAAACCATTGCAGAAAACCTCATGAATTGCAAGGTGCCCCTGAGACAAACACTACAAGAATTGTTCTTATGGTTGAGGCCTCCAAACTCTTTTGAAGAACCCTGAGAACCTGCATGCAAGCAATATGTCCAGTGTTATACAAGAAGTTTCTCTTGCAGCATGGAAATAACTGTGTTTCACGGGAGCCTAGGCTTTCTTTGACCATTGAACTATCCTTACTTTCAATTCTGTGACTGTTCCTCCTGCTCTTCCTTTCTGTATACACCCCAGAAAGCTTCTTGTTAAGCAGCTCTGGGCTTCTCTCTCCATCAAGTGAGTTTCCTTTAGTTTGGGGGGTTCTACCCATGAAAAAATGTCAGCAGTACTGTTTAGAATCTGCATTAACTTGATAGTTAAGGCCAGAATCTGATCTCAAAGAGATGAAAAAAAAACATAGGAAGCCACCTATTTTTAGCTTCTTTCCTCATTACTAGATAAGGTTTATTCATGGATACATATAAATTCTAAAATACATTAAATCTCACAGAAATATCTGTATTTAGCAGCAGTAAGTAAAAACACAGCTGGTCTCAACAGCCTGTTTCAGACATAAAAGGAGTCAGAGGGAAAGAATTTATGACAAGTAGCCACAACTTAGAAAACCACAGTCCCACTTAGTATGTCCTCTTTTTGATAAAGGTTCCAGGAAACTTCCCGATTTGAAATTAGTAATGGAATTAAAGCTACAACTCCAGCATACCTCTGCATTAGCAATCCGTAGCAACTACAGGGCCTGTGCATTTACTGGCTGATAAATAGCCATTGCATGGGAAGAAATACAGAGGAGGTAAATTACATGGCAAGAGAGCAAAGGACAGAATAAGACTCATCTCTTTTTCAGCTTGAAATAACTTCTGCTGGGCCAAGCCACCTTGCTTATGGCTTCCAGTAAGTTGCTGGTAGTCAGCACACAGTTTGTGCAGGAGCCTTCTCCTCCTAAACCAGCCAACTACTAGCTAAGCACCAAAGCTGTGTTCTTATCACAGTTGGAAATATACTTCTGAATTCATGTTTAAGGAATTCATAGAAGGACACAAGCACTGTTGCAAATTAATGCCTTATTAGATATGAATTTGCACTGTCAGATGTTGAAAAATGGCAGGGGCTGTGGAATTAAAACTAAACAACCCTATTAATCAAAGACATTTCCAGCATCTCTTTACAATTATGCTGTCCATACCTCAAGCTGAAAGGAGAATGCATTAAGACTACTAGGCTAAGTTTTCAACACTGGCTGGAGTAGTTGGATCCCCTAAAGAGAGAAAAGAAGTAAATATTGAGATAGCTCCACCAGGATAAATTGGATGGGTTTGACAGTAGGACATTTCAAAAGATTAATCCCTGTAGCTATACACACACACCTAAAATAATGAGCTTTCTGAAAGAGATACATAGAGAACTTAGCTTTCCTGTGCAGAAAGGTTCAACAGACCCTGTAATGACAAAGCAGGCCACTTAGTTGTAACTGCTTTAAACTGGTCTTCCTGGTGATACTCTTTACTGCAGCTGAATGACACTCAAACAGGTATGAAATTGTTTCTCACCTTTGAAAGCCACCAGAAATGAAGGAAATCCCTTCCAGGCTTGCTCTCTCCAAATAAATTTTCCCCATTTATTAATATGAGTAAGAAGCAAATAATCCAGGAACCACAGGAAATAGGTTTCGGAAAGCAATTTTTGATCGATACAACTCAATGATCACTACTAAGGGCGATTATTAAAAATGAATTTCACTGGTCATCTCTTTTTCCATATTATGCCATTCACATGATTTGTTGCATAAAATCTCTCCAGTAATATTACTTCCGCCCACCCCCCATGGCTCATCTGGAGAAACCGGAGCTGATGGACTACTCTATGAGGAATCTCTATAGACTCCCCATAACTAGCTTTAAACATGGTTTCAGACAGTCCAGCCTGTAAAAATCTTCAAACATACTGAGAGGTTCCATGTGTGTCTCAAAAGCAACATACACGGCAAACTGCCATCTGTGTAAACTGCAAA